AGATACCAGAAACAATAGACAATAGCAATACAAATTTGTTTCCAGGAGATTCGGTAAATATATTAAATTTTATGTAAGTCTCCTAGAAACAAATTTCTATTGTGTACTCGCAAATTTGGCTTACACCTTTGTCCAACCTGTAATAAACATGGACGGATTTTAGCTGAGATTATGATTTGATAAGGCATATGTAAGAATTGCAGAACTCGGCATCTACCCCCCCCCCCGCATTTTCGCGGGCTCATAGGTCGGAAATCCCAGAGAAAGGGGGAGTGGCGCTTTTCAAAAGATTTTGAAGATTATTTTTTGCTTACAAGTATGAACAAGTTACTTTGCACATCTTTATAACTATGCAAGTAAGTATCAAAAATTCATTCTCGGGAGGGGAGGGGGGGGGGTCGGCATGAGCGCAAAATCTTCCGGCAATTAAGTCAAGTACAATTTGCCATGAGAAGTATTCCCCCCCCCCCCCACTTCGAAACTGCGTTCAAAATTTTGTGGTCTGTATGAGCTAATATATTTCACAGTTAACTTGTCTTTATTTGCAAATAATCATAACTTTTTAGAAATTACTAAAGATATTTATAGTTTCGTATAAGATTTCATTTGGGAACGTATTTGTCTCCCCCATGTCCCTCTTAAAATTTCAGAATTAGCGCGAAATTCTGCAATTTTTCCGACGAACGCCCAAAATTTATTCGGGTAGCTTAACTAAAGCCACTCCCTTCGTGGGTGATGGCTGCCGCCCTTTTCTCGCGAAAAAAAAATTCTAGGACACCCAAAACCGACTGCTATCCAGTTCCTCAAAACGTTACAATTCTGCGTAGGTTTGAATTAAAAATTTCGATTTTTTGAGCGAAGAATTCTTAGGAAACAGAGGCATGGAGGAAGACATTGCTAGAAATGCTATAAAAAGGATTAAATATGTGATGCGACCGATGCTATCGAGAACTCGTCCGTTTCTCACTTGTGCAGCTACGTTTCCTTATAGTCTTCCAAAATTCACAGTCTTTGACTAGATTCGTGCTCTAGAGAAATAACATCGCTGAATATCTGCTAGTCCATGTTATTTCTCCTGATCACACCAAATTATGAATCAGCAGAATGAACGAATTCTGGAGAAGGCAAGGCATATTTAGGACCAATCGAGCTAGGAATGAAAGTTGCTCAATACGAAGTGCTCCAAAAAAATAGAATAGAGTCTACTAGAAAAAGTCTACCAGACTTTAACCTTAACCTGGTCAAAATTCGAGTCTTTGAGGTAGCTAAAAGTAGTGGATACTGGAATGCATGTCCACTCACTATCGAGTATTCCTTAAAAACTGTTCCATAAGCAGTCGTGATCGAACCCGGTTTACGACTGAAGATGTTTGGGCCGTGTAAGGGATAGTAGTCGACGATTAATGAGGGACTGGTACGCGCCCGTAGAAATGCTGGAATTCGCTCTAATAAATATCGTATAATTAAATATAACGTAGGAGGAAAAACAAAGAACAAATTTGAACTCTTGAAAAATTACCAAAATCTGCAACTACGCTTTTTGATGCTCAAGTTTCACAATTTTTCTAAATTTTTGTATCAACCCTCCGAAGGAGACCAAGTAGCGGGTGGATAGAGCAAACCCTACAAAATACAAAACAATTTTTTTCTGCTTTCTAGAACGCGTCATATTTTCTGATTGAATTTTAGTTGATGCTATCAATTTCCATACATGGTCAACTCAAACCTCGTAGAACATCAAACAATGAGCACCGGTGTCATTCAATGCAGCTTTTTCTCCTCTTTCTAATGGGTGTTTTTGTTTCCGCTTCGTGAAGCCTACGGAGATAAAATCATCATATTTCGTGTTTTCAAACCCGCCCTGACTGTACCCGAGAAAGAAATCAAATATTCCGATTTAATGAACTTTCATTTGCACTGTATAATAAGTGCTAAATCATAACCCCATCTTAAAGCCTTAAACTCGGAGAATTTAGTGGTGTTTGCCACGTTTGTTCTGACGTAGACTCGCCAAAATTCAGTGGCTTAGAAAATTTTGAAAATTTATGGCGAGATATGAGAAAAAGGAAAATGTATGCTGTTTCCTGTAGGGTTTGCTCTATCCACCTGTCACGTGGACTCCTTTGGAGGGTTAATATGAAAATCTAGAAAAATTGTGAAACTTGAGCACCTGAAAAGCTATGAGTCGCAGCTTTTGAAAATTTTACAAGAGATCAATCTGCAATAAATTATAGACATCAAAAAGGAAATCAAATGCTGCATGGAATGCTACCGGGAACTCTCAGAAATCTTTCTTCCATCAAATGTGGCGCCCCTTTGAAAAAAGCGAAATCACTTTCAGAATGATCCAATATGTATGATATGTATCCTTGTTGGAATCCGATGAAAACGTAAAACTTTCTGAAAAATGAAAAAATCTCGTATGACAATTATGTAACGTTCCAGTCGCTCCTGAAATGACCATAGTAACGGATTTTTCGTTTTTTTTTCTTTTTTTACTGATCCTCATGAACGTCAATTGGATAGAATGCTAATATACCGCTATAAAATCCCCTTATGGATTATGGGATGATTCATGAGGTTTTCCCATGCTTTGATCTTCTGCAATTCTTACTTATGCCTTATCAAATCATAATCTCAGCTAAAGTCCGTCCATGTTTATTACAGGTTGGACAAAGGTGTAAGCCAAATTTGCGAGTACACAATAGAAATTTGTTTCTAGGAGATTTACATAAAATTTAATATATTTACCGAATCTCCTAGAAACAAATTTGTATTGCTATTGTCTATTGTTTCTGGTATCTATGGGACTACCCCAAAGCGGCTGAGCACTTGTGACGATTCAACCGTAGAGTTCGGTGTCAGACAGCTGCAATGGTGTGACAGATTATGCCATCCACATGCTGACAGATATTAGACACACACTACATAACTTTAGAAGAAGGTTATTTAGATATTTATATTCCTTTGTCTTGGTAGAAAGTGTCAGATGCGCGATAAACGTTAGAGTAGATGATATCATATGATTGCTTGTTTCTTACCAAGCAAAATTCGGGCTCTTATAACTCCAAGAAAAGTTTCGATTTCGAGAATTAGGACTAACCGCAAAGCTGATCTTTTTGGGCAGCATTTGGTATTTTCTCCAAAATTTAGATTCTCATGGTAAAATCTTCTGTTTTTGACCCCTTTGAGTCTACGATGCTCTACTAATCTGCGATGCTATAGCAATAATGATAAGAGACGCTTTCAAGGACACTTTCCCGGCATAGTTGGATAAAACGAATAATTTTGAAAGGTAAGGGAATCCATGGCATCTCAGAGAGATTATCCGCTTTTGTCACACAAGAAAAAAACCGCGAGTGAAAGTACAATAGCATGGAAAAGGCCTCTCTCTCGTTCCATTCATGCATTCAATCATTTATTCATGTATTCACTTGCTTCGGCGAACCAAAAAACATTGATTCAAAAAAACAAAAAAGCGGTCAAAACGTACAAGTACAAAAGGCTAAATCATCTTTTAAAGTGTTTTTGCAATTTCTTTAAGTCATCTTCGATCATCAGATCTTTTTGCAGTTTGCTAATATAAAGCTCAACAATCTTTCATTATGTCAATCCAAAGTTTCATTTTTGAATACTTCGCCTTCAAGCACTTTTTCAGATTCTTGAGGTGCAAGTTGTCCATATTGATTGGAGAATTTCAAGCTATTTATCCTACTCAAATGTGCTGCTGCCCTCTATTACTGTTATCCCAATTAGCTGTGAGATTTTGTACAAGCCGTTTTTCCAGCCTTGCCCGGTGATCCTCAGCGGCCAAATGTCTTTTTACTAAAGACTTTCTTTTTTGAAGTCAGTGAAAACTTCTCAAACTTGTACCGATTACGAATCTAACTGTGCTAGCGAGGAAATGGTCAGAAACTAGCCCAGCCATTTCAAACACTGTATATCGTCGGACTCGTCTCAAAATGCTGTTCAAATATGTCTTTTTAATCTGCCAAACGACTGTCTTGGAGGAGTTACGAGCGTTCAAATACGAGAAATTTTTCGAGTCTCGGCGCATATATTTATTTTCCCTAAAAGGCAGCTTGATGGCGCGGATTTACAATGGCCATGGTTATTCCAATTGCAAGGAAGGACCACATTCAGCAAAAACCTAAATAAGTGTTTAAACGTGTTTCGTGGAACACTCGACAAATCGGGCATAAATCACCCATAACTCTTTCTAGATAGTTGCTTGGCTCACAATCACCAATCAGTTCACTTTTGGGTTACCTTAAAAGGTAAGCCTTTAGATTTTAGTCAAGTTCTAGTTCAAGCATACTCTGCTATTTTGAAAACACCTAAAGGGCTGAAATATTTGATCAAATGTGGACGCCTATAGTCCCTCGCGATTTGATCGCTGCGATGACATGGCTTTAGTTATCATGACTTTGAATTTGTTTTCGTAAAGTTTGAAGTAAGAAAAATGACTTTGAAGTAGAAGCGGTCGTCCGCAGGGGACGGTGACCATACAAAGCAAAGAAAGGCTGCTTGTACGACCTCTCGCTCCCATTTGGACACTTCTACAGTGAAGGGTAGTAAAAACACTAGAGGATAATTAGATAGTGTAAAATTAGATGTCCAGGGCTTTAGGATATGAAGGTTCTTTCTCGAGAAGATCAATTATCCATGTGGCCCGATAATTTTTCGAACCCTGCTATCGATCAAATCTCATGTTCTTGGATTCGGATACACGGTGCCTACATGCTCTTTCTTGCCTTTTAAAGATCGAACTTACCTCGCTACTAATTTCTCCTCCTCCTTACTCAATGCGCTTTGCCTAAGAAAATTTTTCATTATAGTATGATATTGCAGATTACTGGCAGGATATTTATTGGCTAGCTATTTTTTGAGGTCATAAATGCGTCTATTCATTGAAAAGCTTGTTTTGCCTCACAAAGTTTTTATTGCAGTACTAACAGAATGCCACAAAAGCGGAATGACATGCAGTCTCGTCGTTCTTCTCAAAAGTTCACGAATGTTTTGCACACTGGGTCCACCTCGTCGCGCTGAAGTACGTAACATTCTAGCTTATCGTCCGCGCAGTCGATTGAATCTTCTCCTTTAACTAAGAGGTCGCATCTATTGTTTTTCTGTAAAAGATTATCATGATTTGGTTTCAATAACGTTCGAGAGGTACAAAAAAATTTAGCTAGAAGAGATTCAAAAACTTACTTTTCCTGCGAACTGCTCCAAACCAAGAAGTTAAGTCAAAAAGCGGTGGATACTTTGTAATACTGCAAACAACTAACTTTGTAAACCACTACTGTGGAGCATTCCTTGTTTGCGTAGCAGGCAGCAAAGCACTTATTCTTATCTGCAAAACCGTCTAAATGGGTATCGCCAATGTTGACCACATTGACTTTGTCAAAAACGCAGCACGAAAGGTAGTCTACCTGAAAAAAATTATGGTAGGCGCTGACACTATGCAAGCAACAATGGGCTTTCTTGAGATCGAAACTTGACCTGGATGAAGAACAACAGGAATGCAAGCCACTTCGTCGCCATTGCAGCTGTTTGACACCGAACTCTACGGTTGAATCGTCTCAAATGCTCGGTCGCTTTAGGGTGGTCCCTTGGATACCAGGAACAATAGACAATAGCAATACAAATTTGTTTCTAGGAGATTTGGTAAATATATTAAACTTTATGTAAGTCTCCTAGAAACAAATTTCTATTGTGTACTCGCAAATTTGGCTTACACCTTTGTCCAACCTGTAATAAAAATTAACATGGACGGATTTTAGCTGAGATTATGATTTGATAAGGCATAAGTAAGAATTGCAGAAGATCAAAGCATGGGAAAACCTCATGAATCATCCCATAATCCATAATGGGATTTTATAACGGTATATTAGCATTCTATCCAATTGACGTTCATGAGGATCAGTAAAAAAACAAAAAAAACGAAAAATCCGTTATACTATGGTCATTTCAGGAGCGACTGGAACGTTACATAATTGTCATACGAGATTTTTTCATTTTTCAGAAAGTTTTACGTTTTCATCGGATTCCAACAAGGATACATATCATACATATTCGATCATTCTGAAAGTAATTTCGCTTTTTTCAAAGGGGCGCCACATTTGATGGAAGAAAGATTTCTGAGAGTTCTCGGTGGCATTCATGCAGCATTTGATTTCCTTTTTGATGTCTATAATTTATTGCAGATTGATCTCTTGTAAAATTTTCAAAAGCTGCGACTCATAGCTTTTCAGGTGCTCAAGTTTCACAACTTTTCTAGATTTTCATATTAACCCTCCAAAGGAGTCCACGTGACAGGTGGATAGAGCAAACCCTACAGGAAACAGCATACTTTTTCCTTTTTCTCATATCTCGCCATAAATTTTCAAAATTTTCTAAGTCACCGAATTTTGGCGAGTCTACGTCAGAATAAACATGGCAAACACCAATAAATTCTCCTGGTTCAAGGCTTCAAGATGGGGTTATGATTTAGCACTTATTATACAGTGCAAATGAGAGTTCATGAAATCGCAATATTTGATTTCTTTCTCGGGTACAGTCAGGGCGGGTTTGAAAACACGAATTATGATGATTTTATCTCCGTAGACTTCACGAAGCGGAAACAAAAAACACCCATTAGAAAGAAGAGAAAAAGCTGCATTGAATGACACCGGTGCTCATTGTTTGATGTTCTACGAGGTTTGAGTTGACCAATTATGGAAATCGATAGCATCAACAATTTTATTAGAGAAAACGAGCTCGATCACGACTGCTTATGGAACAGTTACTTGCACTCGATAATGAATGGACATGCATTTCAGTACCCACCTACTTTTAGCTACCCCAAGGAGACTCGAATTTTGACCAGGTTAAGATTTCTGGTAGACTCCATTCTATTCTTTTGGAGCACTTCGTATTGAGCAACTTTCATTCCTGGCTTGATGAGTCCTAAACATGCCTTGCCTTCTTCACTCCAGAATTCGTTCATTCTGCTGATTCATAGTTTGGTGTGATCAGGAGAAATAACGTGGACTAGCAGAGATTCAGCGATGTCATTTCTCCCCGGAGCACGAATCTAGTCAAAGTGGCTGCTGTGAATTTTGGAAGACTATAAAGAAACATTGCTGCACAAGTGCGAAACGGACGAGTTCTCGATAGCATCGGTCGCATCACATATTTAATCCTTTTTACAGCATTTCTAGCAACGTTATCCTCTTAGTCTCTGTTTTTCTAAGGATTCTTCGCTCCAAAAATCGAACTTTTTAATTCAAACCTATGCAGAATTGTAATGTTGTGAAGACCTGGATAGAGCGGGTGTCCTAGAAATTTTCTTGCGAGCAAAGGGCGGCACCCACCATTTACGAGGGTTGCGGCTATACTTAAGCTACCCGAATGAATTTTGGAAAGCGTTCTTCATGAAAATCGTAAATTTTTGCGCTAATTGTGAAAGCTTGTATGAGAGAGAAGGAAAGAGAACGTTCCCCAAAGAATTCTTAATGAGGCTATAATAATTTTTCGTAATTTCAAAAAAAAGTTATCATTATTTGCAAATAAAAACAAGTTAACTGTGAAATATATTAGCTCATACAGTCTACAGAATTTTTGAACGCATTCTCGAAGTGGGAGAGGGAATCACTTCACATGGCAAATCGTACTTGACTTAATTTCGGGAAACGTTTTGAGCTCATGGAAGCATAGGCTCAACTTTCGAAAGTGAGGTGTTAAAACTCAGTGTTAATACTCATAAAATAGTTTTTCAAAACTGAAGGCAGTGGCTTACCGACCCCCCCCCCCTGAAAATGGACCGTGCAATTTTTTAAAGTTACTTACGTGAGTTATGAACATGTACAAAGTGACTTGTTCATACTTCTAAGTAAGAAATATCCTTCAAATCTTTTAGAAAGCGCCGCGCCCTTTTTTTCTGAGATCTCCGGGTTATGAGCCCGCGAAAATTTTGGGAAGTATACCAAAAAATTTTTCGGTTGCGTGACTAACGCCACGCCTTCATCAGAAAAAATTTCTCGTTTTTTTTTTGTTTGTCCGCCCGCCCTCCGATAGGGAATCCTGGGTACGCCACTGACTCGAGGGTATCTCAGGGGAAAAGTTCAGAAAAGTCTTATATGGACATGGCACTGTCTCATGGAATGCCTATCACCCCATACATTCTGTCAATCGTAATTGTACAGGGCAAAAATTAATGTTCGGGTTTTGCTGCGCATCAAAATTTGTATTTGATGCTCTCAAGGTGTCATGAAACAACAAAGTGCATCTACTCTGCTTTGTCTTCTCTAATTTATTACTCAATTTCATTCTGCAATCAGTGCAAGAACATAAATGCAGAATTGATTTTAGCAAAGCATTTTAGGAATGAAAATGCGCAGAATGCATGTATAAAGAAAGATATGTTTCATATCAGCTTTCTACTTAGCCTTGCATGTCAGTTCTTCCGTAAACGCTTTGCCTGAGTTTTAGCAGGAAAGCATCTACGTAGCAGTTGTATATTATGAAAATAAATGCTGTCAACACTATTCTTCTGCCTTCTTCTGACCGTATTCGATGCAGCAAGTGAAAAGTTATTTTGGGGTTCGAGGGGTGAGTCTTGTAATTGTTGTCTTAACCACAGAGGCGATTTCAAACTTTTCAAGCTCCTAGGGGTTGGTGCTTGTTCACAACAAAATTCCCAAAGGAATTCGCTTAAACTGGGATCTTTGCACCAAATTTCATGCAGGAAAAATGACCACTTATTTCAGACACTCACCTACAAATTGAATTAAAGAATAAAGTTTTTTTACTAATATTACATCTTTATCCTTGAAACCATGTAAGCCTTTATTGTTTATGGATGTTGGTATATATGTTTACGTTCCATGAAAAGTTTTTGCCTCAAGATACCATCGAATTGGCACAAATCAGTCAAAATAAACCGGGTAAAACAGTATTAGATATAAAATTCCTGCCCTGTTTTATAACCACCTAACGGAGCGAATTTCTGCTTCATTTTTATTTGCCTCCTCCCCCTGCCTTAGCAATTTGCATGGGACCCGACATTTCAGACCTTTTACGAACCCAAAAATTAATTCTCTACTAGAATTTGGTGTTTGAAAGTGATGAGGTAGAACTTGCTGACAGTATATCAGCTACAATCCTATTTATTTTATGGAAACTTCAGAGTATTCTCAAGGCTGACCTAGCGCTACGCTTCCTTTTCCAAGGCCTTACAATTACAAGCTTGATAGAATTTATATTCATCTCTTCTTCCAAAAAAAGCGAAACGCATTTTTGGTGTGGGCATGAAAAATAATTCTCGCTGTTGTTTGCAACTCCAAAGACAATTTTATTACATTTGAGCAGTACATAGTATGAATTCGTACATATAATATCGAGATAAAATCGTTCTATTCTATGTACAAAGATAATAATTTTCATAAAACTATACACTAAAATTCACATGACGCGGCTGCTTCCATCCTCAGTTTCAGTAGTCAGGTCGAACTGTCTGCAACAAAGTAGATGCAGAAGTGTATCTTCCAACCTCTGATTCAACTGGCTTGGCGGACGGAAGGTGGGGCTGATATAATTAAGGCCGCTGGTGCCCGCGACACAGTCTGCGTCTCTCTCGCGCGCGTGCTCTTTGATTACTACCTAGCTTCAATTAAGTCACGAAGTCCTGCCTTCCAGCCGCCAAGCCAGTTGAATCAAAAGACAGATGATCTGTTTTCGAATCTGCTGCAGGAAAATGTGGAGGTAAGTTTTGGTAACCGTCAAACTCGTACTGATTGATGTTTCAATTTTGATTAGCAGTTTAGAAAAGTGGATTATATGCTCACCTCTTCAAGAATCTTGGTTTCGATGGCGGGTCTCACTTCTTCTGGCAATCGGCTGCGCTTCCATCTAGGATTTGCTACTAGGATCAAAGCAGTTGGTGCGTAGAAGAATACAGTGACACCGAGAAGATTCGAGATGATCTGCTGGTCACAAAGTTTGTGTCCTTTAGTCCAGCAGCTGAAAAATATTTTGAACATATTAGCTGAAAAAATATATTTAGAATTGACTAAAGTGTGGTGCCAAGCGGCTCTTTGGGCAACTCCCATTCCTACATTGAGAGCAAAAGTTGCGAAGAACCACACACCACCCGCTTGGTGGAAGGGCACGTAGAGCTGACGAAATCTCAGCGGAAGGGTTGGGCAGACGAAGCAGGCGAACGCGAAGGTATACTGTAAATAAAAGTTCCTCAAATGATCTACACGAAAAGTTATAGAAATAAGCGACTCACAAAAAGTGAGCAACGGCCGTTTTGCACGACAATATCCAATGGCTACATCGCGTGACCTGTCTAAACGCGTCGCGCGCGGAGAACGCAAGAGCCGCCGCCAGATATGTCGCGCACGGCAATGGTCCTGCATGCTCAGACAATGGATCGGACCCCTCCGCTGGGGAAATGGCAGGGTCGCGGCGTTTCCCCAGCGGTGGGTCACCCATTCGTCCGGCGGAGCCCTCCCATTTCTCCGGCGGAGACCTCCCATTTCTGCTCCGGATACCTCCCATTTTCTGCTCCGGATACCTTCCATTTTCTGCTCCGGATACCTCCCATTTTCTGCTCCGGTTACCTCCCATTTCTGCTCCGGAGACCTCCCATTTCTGCTCCGGATACCTCCCATTTTCTGCTCCGGAGACCTCCCATTTTCTGCTCCGGATACCTCCCATTTTCTGCTCCGGATACCTCCCATTTTCTGCTCCGGATACCTCCCATTTTCTGCTCCGGATACCTCCCATTTTCTGCTCCGGATACCTCCCATTTCTGCTCCGGATACCTCCCATTTCTCCGGCGGAGACCTCCCATTTTCTGCTCCGGATACCTCCCATTTCTGCTCCGGATACCTCCCATTTCTGCTCCGGATACCTCCCATTTCTGCTCCGGATACCTCCCATTTTCTGCTCCGGAGACCTCCCATTTTCTGCTCCGGAGCCCTCCCATTTCTGCTCCGGATACCTCCCATTTTCTGCTCCGGATACCTCCCATTTTCTGCTCCGGATACCTCCCATTTTCTGCTCCGGATACCTCCCATTTTCTGCTCCGGATACCTCCCATTTTCTGCTCCGGATACCTCCCATTTTCTGCTCCGGATACCTCCCATTTTCTGCTCCGGATACCTCCCATTTTCTGCTCCGGATACCTCCCATTTCTGCTCCGGATACCTCCCATTTCTCCGGCGGAGACCTCCCATTTTCTGCTCCGGATACCTCCCATTTTCTGCTCCGGATACCTCCCATTTTCTGCTCCGGATACCTCCCATTTTCTGCTCCGGATACCTCCCATTTTCTGCTCCGGATACCTCCCATTTTCTGCTCCGGATACCTCCCATTTTCTGCTCCGGATACCTCCCATTTTCTGCTCCGGATACCTCCCATTTTCTGCTCCGGATACCTCCCATTTTCTGCTCCGGATACCTCCCATTTTCTGCTCCGGATACCTCCCATTTTCTGCTCCGGATACCTCCCATTTTCTGCTCCGGATACCTCCCATTTTCTGCTCCGGATACCTCCCATTTTCTGCTCCGGATACCTCCCATTTTCTGCTCCGGATACCTCCCATTTTCTGCTCCGGATACCTCCCATTTTCTGCTCCGGATACCTCCCATTTTCTGCTCCGGATACCTCCCATTTTCTGCTCCGGATACCTCCCATTTTCTGCTCCGGAGACCTCCCATTTTCTGCTCCGGATACCTCCCATTTTCTGCTCCGGATACCTCCCATTTTCTGCTCCGGATACCTCCCATTTTCTGCTCCGGATACCTCCCATTTTCTGCTCCGGATACCTCCCATTTCTGCTCCGGATACCTCCCATTTCTCCGGCGGAGACCTCCCATTTTCTGCTCCGGATACCTCCCATTTCTGCTCCGGATACCTCCCATTTCTGCTCCGGATACCTCCCATTTCTGCTCCGGATACCTCCCATTTTCTGCTCCGGAGACCTCCCATTTTCTGCTCCAGAGCCCTCCCATTTCTGCTCCGGATACCTCCCATTTTCTGCTCCGGATACCTCCCATTTTCTGCTCCGGATACCTCCCATTTTCTGCTCCGGATACCTCCCATTTTCTGCTCCGGATACCTCCCATTTTCTGCTCCGGATACCTCCCATTTTCTGCTCCGGATACCTCCCATTTTCTGCTCCGGATACCTCCCATTTCTGCTCCGGATACCTCCCATTTCTCCGGCGGAGACCTCCCATTTTCTGCTCCGGATACCTCCCATTTTCTGCTCCGGATACCTCCCATTTTCTGCTCCGGATACCTCCCATTTTCTGCTCCGGATACCTCCCATTTTCTGCTCCGGATACCTCCCATTTTCTGCTCCGGATACCTCCCATTTTCTGCTCCGGATACCTCCCATTTTCTGCTCCGGATACCTCCCATTTTCTGCTCCGGATACCTCCCATTTTCTGCTCCGGATACCTCCCATTTTCTGCTCCGGATACCTCCCATTTTCTGCTCCGGATACCTCCCATTTTCTGCTCCGGATACCTCCCATTTTCTGCTCCGGATACCTCCCATTTTCTGCTCCGGATACCTCCCATTTTCTGCTCCGGATACCTCCCATTTTCTGCTCCGGATACCTCCCATTTTCTGCTCCGGATACCTCCCATTTTCTGCTCCGGATACCTCCCATTTTCTGCTCCGGATACCTCCCATTTTCTGCTCCGGATACCTCCCACTTTCTGCTCCGGATACCTCCCACTTTCTGCTCCGGATACCTCCCATTTTCTGCTCCGGATACCTCCCATTTTCTGCTCCGGATACATCCCATTTTCTGCTCCGGATACCTCCCATTTCTCCGGCGGAGACCTCCCATTTTCTGCTCCGGATACCTCCCATTTTCTGCTCCGGATACCTCCCATTTTCTGCTCCGGATACCTCCCATTTTCTGCTCCGGATACCTCCCATTTTCTGCTCCGGATACCTCCCATTTTCTGCTCCGGATACCTCCCATTTTCTGCTCCGGATACCTCCCATTTTCTGCTCCGAATACCTCCCATTTTCTGCTCCGGATACCTCCCATTTTCTGCTCCGGATACCTCCCATTTTCTGCTCCGGATACCTCCCATTTTCTGCTCCGGATACCTCCCATTTTCTGCTCCGGATACCTCCCATTTTCTGCTCCGGATACCTCCCATTTTCTGCTCCGGATACCTCCCATTTTCTGCTCCGGATACCTCCCATTTTCTGCTCCGGATACCTCCCATTTTCTGCTCCGGATACCTCCCATTTTCTGCTCCGGATACCTCCCACTTTCTGCTCCGGATACCTCCCATTTTCTGCTCCGGATACCTCCCATTTTCTGCTCCGGATACCTCCCATTTTCTGCTCCGGATACCTCCCATTTTCTGCTCCGGATACCTCCCACTTTCTGCTCCGGATACCTCCCACTTTCTGCTCCGGATACCTCCCATTTTCTGCTCCGGATACCTCCCATTTTCTGCTCCGGATACATCCCATTTTCTGCTCCGGATACCTCCCATTTCTGCTCCGGAGCCCTCCCATTTCTGCTCCGGAAACCTCCCATTTTCTGCTCCGGAGACCTCCCATTTTCTGCTCCGGAGCCCTCCCATTTCTGCTCCGGAGCCCTCCCATTTCTGCTCCGGAGACCTCCCATTTTCTGCTCCGGATACCTCCCATTTCTGCTCCGGAGGCCTCCCATTTCTGCTCCGGACCCCTCCCATTTTCTCCGGCGCGACTCCGCCAGATTTGCCAGGCTCGCGCCGGACAAATTTGTCCGGCGCGAGCCTGGCAAATCTGCCAGGGTCGCGCCGGAGAAATGGCGGACCTTTGCAGCAGGGCCGGAGAAGCCTCCCATTTGCCTGGCAGTGATGTCACGCGAGGGACCGCCCATTTGCCCCGCTCTCATTGGTCAATTGGGTCCGGCGCGAGTCTGGCAAATCTGCCAGGGTCGCGCCGGAGAAATGGCGGACCTTTGCAGCAGGGCCGGAGAAGCCTCCCATTTGCCTGGCAGTGATGTCACGCGAGGGACCGCCCATTTGCCCCGCTCTCATTGGTCAATTGGGTCCGGCGCGAGTCTGGCAGTTTCGGCTTGCCCAGCGGAGGGGTCCGATCCATTGTCTGAGTGGAAGCGCCACAGCAGGATTACGGTTGTGCGAACTGGCCTATAAAGGATATTCGTCGACGACTGCCCCGACTCGTGTAATCACACCATCGCACGCATGCGTTTTTGGAGCCTTTCCAGCTTTACAGTACATTGCAGCGCGCGGGGAACATGCAGCTCGCAGCATTCCTGTCCTATAATCTTCTTTGTTGTTTATGCCCTTTTGATTCCTTTTTCTCTAATTTTCATTTCAGGAGGATCTAAACATCGAATATCTTACAAGTCCTGTGTGTATATCACGCAACGCTGGGGTTGAGCTAATGTTAAGCCTTCCCTGAAAACTTACAAGGGAAGTTCACTTAGTCGAAGTGGCGATTCAGAAGGAGATTTATACCAATGGATAGAGCTTAAAACGCTGATCTCAAATATACCTTCTATATCTGCGACGCATCGTTCTGAAAAAAGTTATGAGCTTTTCTAAAGCCAAATTTTCGTGCAATTTGAGTCGCAAAATTATGATAATCGCTACACAAAGGTGTGCAAGCTTAAGCAAACCACTTAGTAAGCATTGTAGGTCTAAGTCGAGTTCATCCGAATGCTTTCGAGTGTTTTTCGACCATGTTGTTCATTCACAGGTCGTCATTTCATTCCTAGATCACACTTCCATCATATGTACAAAAAAGCCCCATAACCTCCATCTAGAAAAACGCGTCGCGTAGGAAATTTTTTGGAAACTACCAATGGATAGAGCGTAAAACGATGTTCTCAAATATATCTTCAATATCTGCGACGCATTCTTCTAGATGGAGGTTATGGGGCTTTTTTGTACATATGATGGAAGTGTGATCTAGGAATGAAATGACGACCTGTGAATGAACAACATGGTCGAAAAACACTCGAAAGCATTCGGATGAACTCGACTTAGACCTACAATGCTTACTAAGTGGTTTGCTTAAGCTTGCACACCTTTGTGTAGCGATTATCATAATTTTGCGACTCAAAATGCACGAAAATTTGGCTTTAGAAAAGCTCATAACTTTTTTCAGAACGATGCGTCGCAGATATAGAAGGTATATCTGAGATCAGCGTTTTAAGCTCTATCCATTGGTATAAATCTCCTTCTGAATCGCCACTTCGACTAAGTGAACTTCCCTTGTTAGAATGTCTATTCAACCTTTGTGTTTTCTGGTTTCTTCTGAATTTCCGGAGTGCAGGGTTCCTAAAGGTGGCGCTATCTAAGCATGGCCTACTTGGACCATCGGCCACAGGTTGTCGACTTTACGGGTTGCCGGTATTTACTTGCTGATCTCCAGATTTCATGAGGAGATTGCATTTGTTGTGATTACGTGTGTTTTTTGCCTTCCTTGCCATTGGCATCCTGTCAACAACGGCAACAATCGCAAAACTGGCAAAAGTTCTCGGCAACCTGTGCCCGATCTTTGCTGATAAGTTTGTCGAATTCCATTCTGGTCAGGTGCATGCAATCCGACAATTTCCAACATCCAAAACAGTTCGAAGAATGTTCCACAAGTGGGCTCGCATTCACTTGACCAGAATTAAAAGGTTCAACAAACATCACAACAGTACGAACGAAACTTGTGAGTTACCACTGGTCATGTTCAGAGGACGTATTCCTACGAGAAAAAAAAACTTGTTGAAAAAAATAGCAAGAAAGAATGTAGGACGAAAAATTTCGTTGATCAGATGTTCCTTTGAGCTTGCGAGGGCACCCGAGGGGTATTGCGTGTGTGGCGGAAATACCCATGGATAGTGCCACGGACATAATCTAGAACTTGTAAGGATATATCCAACGGTTGAACAAGCGTGAAAGGAAGGAGGAATAGGTGCCTAAAATGGATTTCATGAAGAAGAAGAGATGAGGAACGCTTAAATAACAAGGAAGGTAACAGGACATGGATGGTGCCAGCTGAAAATTCCCCGCGCTCTGCAGTGTACTGTAAAACTGGAAAGGATTCAAAAAACGCACTCGCGCAATGGTGTAATTGCACCAGTTGGGGCTGTCGTCGACGAACATCCTTTACCCAGAAATTTGCTTACCTGACCGCCGATGCCAAGAATGGCCGCAAGACCAACCCATGAATGGAGTGACATCGCATGTGGTATCTTGTTCAGAACCTTTGTATCGTAGATGGCTTTTGATGCAGCCAATGACGACGCCGTCACCATCGTCATCATAATAGCATGTAGAGTTTTACAGAACCTCTTGCCCTTATTGTGGAACACGCGGTAAACAAGGACGGCTTCACCGAGAAGAACTACTTAAATATTATAAACTTGTCGCTTAGCTGAAAATAATGTCGAAGCATGTCTGAATCAACACAGGGCATTTTTCGGTGCACAGACTGGACGCGTTTGCAGATTGTCTGCCTCTTTTCACAACTAGCACTCACAAACACAAATTAGCGACTTACACGGCGGAGACGCAGAGAGTAAAGGGAGAGAAGAGACGCAGACAGTAGGAGCAGAGCAGACACAGACAGAAAGTAACTTACCGAGATGATAACGAGCATTGGATGATAATTGAATGTGCGCACTGGATCTCCCCATATGAGACCACCTTCGTAATTATTTATCCATTTCGTCACCAATACCAAAGCCAGGCCTCCTGCAGCGATTTTGCTTGAGGTTCTGATATTGTGAAAAACAATTTTACCTAATACTTGTGAGCCAGCAAAGAACCATTTAAACGGTCTTTTGCTTTGCTTATCGTTCAGAAACGTGAAATCCGTTCTTTGCGACAGCGAGAGGACTGGTTGTTGTCTCTAAACAGCCAGTCCTCTCGCTGTCTCTTCTCTCTCAGAATGGATTATTCAATAAAACTATACTCTGTAAACGATAAGTCATGAAAGTTTTATTAGGTTGTCCGGGAATTAATGCAGGTTTTGATTTCCAACCACAATAAGTTCAAACATTTCTCATTTTTGAATAGGTTGCAAGGTGCTGTTCGATAGAGCAATGCAAGCCCTACTAGATGACAATTTTGATTTAGCAACAGCTCGATTCACCACGAGTTTCGAGCCAAAAACTAAAAAGATTCAACTGCCCGAAAAACTAAGAAAAATCGTAACTCAGTTTGTAAAAATCCTACAAAAATTCTAATTTGCTCACATAAACACAATCCACATACTAAGGCATCTATATACGCCGTTGCCGTATTTTTCTCTGTTAGAAATTAAGAAAACGGAAATATTCGTTCATCTGCTAAAGTGGTGCTGCGCCGTTCGCACATGAATAGTTGTATACTACAAACCTTTAGAAGTATCGTAAATTTTCAGCTCTCTACAAGCTTTAGTTCGCGAGAAATTTGAATTTTAGCTTGGATTACATGACTAGGGAAAACTGTATTCGATATTTCTCGCTAACTAAAGCTTGTAAAGAGCTGAAAATTTACGTGTGTACATCTAAAGGTTTCTAGTATACAACTACCTATGTGCGAACGGCGCAGCACCACTTTAACGAAATTTCCGTTTTCTTGATTTTTATCAGAGAAAAAAATACGGCAACGACGTATATAGATGCCTTATGTGGATTGTGTTTATGTGAGCAAATTAGAACTTTTGTAGGATTTTTACAAACTGAGTTACGATCTTTCTCAATTTTTCGGGCAGTCGAATCTTTTTAGTTTTTGGCTCGAAACTCGTGGTGAGTCACAGCTGTTGCTAAAGCAAAATTGTCGTCTTGTAGAGCTTGCTTTGCTCTTTCGAACAGTACCTTGGAACCTATTCAAAAATGAGAAATGTATGACTTATTGCGGTTGAAAATCAAAACCTGCATTATTTCCGGATAACCTAATATTACCAAATACTGAGAAATAGATGGAAATGATTGCCAGCAATGCCCCCTCTCCTTCCTTTTCCCTTCAAGCAAGATTACTCGAAGTTTATGAAGGCTCAAGTGATTGTGAATCTAAGGTGAGTGTATAATTAATTCGTAACCATTATTCGTAACTGACTATTTTAAATCCTTTTCAAAAACTTAATTGCTTTTGAAAAGCAGCCTAGATTTTTTTATAAAATTTCTGATCAAATGAGATAGTGAAAGCAGTTTTCAGAGCAAAAAATGCTAAAAGTAAGAGATGCTTGAAAGCCTTTATTTGGACATCTTTTTGTACAAGTAATTTCAATCTCTGCATTGAGTGCTTTTTGTTTATAAAGATTGAATCATTTTTTAAAAGTGGCCAAATAGTTTCTAGAAATCTATGAGAATGGAATGAGGTGACAGCCACGCCCTCTTCTTGAGATTCCAAGGGTTACATGCTGCGAAAACTTTAAAGACGCCTCGATGGCCTGCCCAGACAATTTGTCTCCATTTCCCTCTGCCATCCCCCTCCCCCCAAAAATATTTTGGAATGACACATGAGTGATGTAAATCATGCTTCCTCAATGTATCCAGCGAATGCTGGAAAGGATACCCGATTGTAGACGCAATATGATGCAGAAATGCCCATCAGGCGTTTATGATAGAAAAACGAAGAATCAAAGTCTAGGACTAAGTGAAAAAGCCGGAGGAATCTGGAATTGATGGCCTAGAACTGTCATATTTGGAAAGAAACTGCAAGAGTGTGGTAATTATGATTGTATTAGCAGGTAATTCTTTTTTTATGAAAAGAGCTAGGCTTGAACAAAACTTCTGTGGCACAATTTCCAAAAATTCAAAATTTCTTGCTGCCTCAGTAATTTTGAACGCTTTTGATTTTATTCCAAAAAGTATAATCAGTTACGTCCTTCACATGTTGACATAGGCGCACCCTACATAACTGTAGAAGACGATTACTCAGATATTCATGCTCCTTTGTCTAAGTAGTAAAAGTCAGATACGCGATGTTAGAGTTGTTGATATCATATAAATGTCTGTTTCTAACCAAGCAAAATTCGCGCTGTTTCTATAACTCCAAAAAAAAAGTTTCGATTTTAAGAATTAGGACTAACCGCAAAGCTGATTTTTTGCGCAGCATTTGGTATTTTCTTCAAAAGTTAGATTCTCATGCTGAAATATTTTTTTCAAGCCCTATGAGTTTACGATGATCTACTAAATTTTCGATACTGTAGCAGTAATAGTAAAAGACGCTTTTCGAGGACACTTTCCCGGCATAGTTGGATAAAACGAATGATTTTGAAAGGTAAGGGAAGTCCATACGGCATCTCAGAGAGATTACCCGCTTTTGTCACACAAGAAAAAAAACCCCGTGAGAAGTACGATAGCAAGAAAAAGGCCTTTCACTCATTCATCCATTCATTCAGTCATTTGCTCATGTATTCACTTGCTTCGGCGGTTCAAAAAACATTGAATCAAATAAAAAAAACGATGTAAACGTACAAGTATAAAAAGCTAAATCATCGTTTAAAGCGTTTTTGCTATTTCCTTAGACCAACTTCGATCATCAGATTTTCCTCAATCTATAGTGATTCTCATGCTAAAATATTTTTTTTTCAAGCCCTATGAGTTTACGTTTATGCTCTACTAAATTTTCGATACTGTAGCAGTAATAATAAAAGACGCTTTTCAAGGACACTTTCCCGGCATAGTTGGATAAAACGAATGGTTTTGAAAGCTAAGGGAAGTCCATATGGTATCTTTGAGAGATTATTTGCTTTTGTTACACATGAAAAAAAAACCGCGAGAGAACGTACGACAGCATGGAAAAGGTCATTCTTTAACTCATTCATCCATTCATATAATCATTTGTTCATATATCCCCTTGTTTGTTGTAATCGGCGATTCAAAAAAAATTGATTTAGAGAACAAAAAACGGTCAAAGCGTACAAGTATAAAAAGCTAACATCTTTAAAAGAGTGTTGTTACTTACTTAGGCCATCTTCTATCATCAGATTTTTTCAATCTGTAATGCGTTGCTAATATAAAGCTCAACAATGTTCCATTATGTCAATCCAAAGTTTTATTTTTGAAATACTTCGCCTTCAAGCAGTTTTCCAAATTCTTGAGGTGCAAGTTGTCCATATGATCGGAGAATTTCAAGCTGTTTACCCTGCTCAAACCCCCACAATGGTCGGTCGCCTCATCGTGGCGTGGGGGTGACACTGGGTGTCGAACTGCGATGCACAGCCGAGTGTATACTCTGGTAGGGCCTCCCAAGCTGTGAAGGAGTTCGACGTTTCCGGTTTCGGCCGGATGCCTAGCTAAGAACTGGCCGCGCCAGATTCTCCGCCGTCTGGCTTCTTCTGGTCGCTAGGCGGTCCCTCCCCGCTCCAAGCCCGGGGTCAGCGATCACCCCGTGGAAATCAAGAGTAGGCCTAGTAAGCCACCTCTTGTGGGGGAACAAATTTTTTTACTCAGACAGCAAGAAGATTTAGAAAAAACCCTGTACATCGGATCCCGCCTACGGCGCCGGGTGGTAGCAAGAATGATGTCAGGGTACTCAGGGCGTCTTTCGGATTGGACAAAAACGACACGTCTGCCCGGACAACACGCCATGGAGACTGCCTCATGCTCTGCACCTACAGCGCCAGGACAGTCTCCACAAACGCCGACCTCCACGCTCTTCTCGATGCTGCAGAGCATATCAACTACCACATCATTGCTCTGCAGGAAACGAAGTCCAGGAAGAAGGACGTGCGACAGATGAGTGATGGGACCCTCATCATTCGTGGTGAAAAGGTTCCATCACGAAACGTGGGAGGCGTCGGCTTTGTCGTCCACCCATCTATCGTCCATCTTGTCGATTCGCACGAGATCCTATCACCTCGACTAGGCATCCTACGACTACGACCTCCACATCAGAAGACCATCAGCATCATCAACTGCTATTCTCCAACATCAGCAGCTGACGAATCAGAACTAGATGCTTTCTACGAAGATGTGGAGGAGGTCGTTCGCAACGAGAAGTCCTTTTACAAGTTTGTTGTGGGCGACTTCAACGCGAAAATCGGGATGCCACTGGAAAGGGAATATAGGATCGGGAAGTTTGGATATGGGCTCCGGAACGAAAACGGCAACCGTCTTGTTGGGCTTCTCTCCGCCGCACGACTTTTCCATGGAAATTCCATCTTTATGAAGAAGGAACATCGCCGGTGGACATGGGAATCGCCCAACGGAACGACCCACGCGGAGATCGACCACATTCTCACCAACCGAAGGTGGAGCTTACTCGATGTCTCTGTAGTTCCATCCTTCTGTAGTGGCTCCGATCACCGCCTCCTTCGAGCGAAGATACGACT